AGGGAGTGCTAGCATGTGGCCCACAAGTTAGAAAGTTTGCTCATGCCTGGCCTAAATGGACCACTAGTAGTCTGATTCATCTGAATCTGCAGTCCAGATAGTAACTTGCAGAGAAAGGAGACATGCCCATGTTGCTTCCGTTGCCATTCCTTGCCAATCATGAAGCTTTGCCCAAGTGCCTGGCTGTCACCTGCCACAGTCAAAATGGGGTACCCACATGACCATCAAGGGAGAGATGACATCAACCCCTTCTTCTTGTTGGTTATGTGGGTGCCCTGTTCTGACATTAGCAGAGACAACTATGGTGTTCAGGCACTCAGATGGGACTCCATGGCCTGCTAGTGATGGCAACTCAGAGGAAGTGGCAGCCAAGTGAGGACGATGTGATCCTGGGCTTTCGGCACAACAATGCCAGATTCAGCATGTGTGTACTGGATCTGAGGCTGCTTTGGAGCAGATTTACACCCGGATTAACTTGCCCATTGTAGATCTACCTCTTCAAAGGAAGTCCTGATATAATTGGTTCCTCACTACTAAGAGCATATTACCAAATGGCCAGATCTAGCAGTGAGTACTGTTTGAATTTGTCCTTTTGTGGTCAGGTGGAAGTATCACAGTTTGGGAGTCAAATCAGAAGGATGCACAGAAATGCTTCTTGTCCAGGAGCAGCCAATACATAGCTTGAGAATATTTTAGTGCCAGGGTTTCTACTACATGCCAGTTAATAATACAAAATGCATATGCTCATTCAGTTTGTGCAGAGCCAGTCAATTAACAAGAAAAACTCAAAACCAATAATTATAAGCCCCAGCTGGAAAGTTGGAAGTCATTTGTCTACCCCTTGTATCAACAGTGTGTTAAATTTTTGAGGGTTTATTTTTTTGCATTTTTGCAGTTATTTGTTTATTATTGTATTATTGTCCTACGTTTTCATAGTTTTGTGTTTTTATTCTCTCTCTATATGTGTGTGTGTATATGTGTTGATGTTATTAAAATAACTTGAAAAACCAAATGAAACCATCGAAATAATTTAATTAAATGTGTCATTATTAATTAATGAATTAATTTGACCATTAGTGTTGATCTAAGCCAGGGATCCACAAACTTTTTAAACAGAGGGCCAGGTCACAGTCCCTCAAACTGTTGGAGGGCTCGATTATAATTTGAAAATAGCATGAATGAATTCCTATGCACACTGCACATATTTTATTTGTAATGCAAAAAACACTTAAAAACAGTACAATAATTAAAATGAAGTACAATTTTAACAAATATAAACTTATTAGTATTTTAATGGGAAATGTGGGCTTGCTTTTGGCTGATGAGATAGGATTGTGTGTTGTGTATTTGTTGTTGTGTGTTTTCAAGTCGTTTCAGACTTAGGTTGACCCTGAGCGAGGGCCGGGTAAATGACCTTGAAGGGCTGTATCCGGCCCTCAGGCCTTAGTTTGAGGACCCCTCATCTAGGCCATGGGATTTACCAAGAATGGCAGGGAGATCATCACTGCTGATCTTAAGGGAGAATGCTTGGTTATTGGCTCCCCCAAAAGGTCTCCCTTTTTTTTGCTTGAAGGACTTGGTTTCCTGCTAAACAAACAAAACATTCTTTCTCATCCACATTTACTTCTAAGACTCGCTTCTCTATTTTTTCCTCTTTTATTGCTTTTTTCTTTCTTTCCCAAAGTTGGCTGTTCACCAGATAACTGACCTGGACTTCTTTGCCTCTCACTGTCCTCAAAAAGAAATTACACAGATTAGTCTACCTAACAAAAAGACAATGTGGCACATTTACTTCCATTATAATTTTTTTTCTCTTGAAGCAGCAAGCTTTCCTGTTTGCTGAATAAAGCATATAGGCACATGGAATTGTAATAATTCAGTTTACTAAACCATATTGTTAACTTCAGTCTTAACTGATGAATATATAGAGTTAGATTAAATCCCTGTGATAATGTAATGAATCAACAGCTTAAGGAATTATTAAATAGGTTAATTCTAACCTTGGGACATTATTTGTTGCCTAAAGAGTTAATTACTTTATTTTCTTGTGTGAAGGAATTACCATTGCTGGAATGAAGCTTGGATGTCCAGACCTGAGCTTCCTGTTGGTTTTGGAGGCTGGCAAGCTGTGGATAGCACCCCTCAAGAGAACAGTGATGGTATGTACCTTTTCTTTCAGAAGAGAAGGCTGAGAGGAGACACGATGAGGGCCATGTATAAATATGTGAGGGGAATTCATAGGGAGAAGGGAGCAGGCTTGTCTTCTGCTGCCCTGGAGACTAGGACGCAGAATAATGGCTTTAAACTACAGGAAAGGAGATTCCACCTGAACATTAGGAAGAACTTCCTCATTGTGAGAGCCATTCAGCAGTGGAACTGTCTGACCCGGAGTGTGGTGGAGGCTCTTTCTTTGGAAACTTTGAAACAGAGGCTGGATGGCCATTTGTCAGAGGTGCTTTTTCCTGCTTCTTGGTCAGGGGTTGGACTGGATGGCCCAAGAGGTCTCTTCCAACACTATGATTCTATGATCCCTTGCTGCAATGCATGAGAAAACAAATCTTCATTTCTTGGAATTTATTGTTATATGGAAGACTAGTGGGGTAACTATATAATTCTATATAAGGGCATCATCTTAAGATAATTAATTGTAAGTTCACATCAGAAAAAAGCTTAATACAATGAATGAAGCTCCACTATCAGAAAACTTCTTTAAGATAAGTTTTTCATATTGCTAGGAGGAATTCCATTTAAGCTCTGTGACATAAGCCAATCTATGTATGTGTTGTCATGTCTCATGGTTATTGTTTACTATGTTTTCCTCTCAACTCATGAATTATGTTAGTTAACTAAACAAACCATAGCTTGCCTTTTCCATTTCTGATATGCTTTTCTCCCAAGCCTTTCAGACAGCTCCCATTTCAGATGGACAGCTAGAAAAGCAAGCCAGGGAAAAACCATAGTTGCAGATTTGGATACAACCATGAACCATAGTTTATTCGAACCAAAGATTGTAGTTTGTGTCTGGTTACCAAATAATATGTTGGATAGGTCTGTAACTGAAGCCTATTCCAGGCCAGTACTGAGAGTTTTGAGTTGTATGATTTCATTGCCCAGGTGCTTGAAATGCCTTAGATATGCAATGGCGGCACCAAGAAGCTTCACCATCCTTCCCTGGAGATGGTTGCTGTGGATTTGGTCTTGCAAAACACCCAAAGTGCATTCAATGCGATGAAACCAGAATTCTTTTAAAACAGATCTAGAGCTACCAAGATTGTGAGACCCGCTTTGACCACGATGTTGTCAAGTAAGCTGGAGTCCTTTTGCTAAGCAATAACTAAACCTCAATGAGATTCAAGGCAGCAGAGGAAGAGAAAGACAGTATTACAGATGGATAGACTCAGTCAGAGAAACCACAGCATTGACTTCATAAGACCTGAAAAGAGATAATTGGAAGTCATAAGTCACCTTGGGCCTTCTACACTGCCATATAATCCATTACTGTCCTGATTTTAGAGTTTTTTTTAATACTGGTAGCCAGATTTTTGTTCATTTTCATGGTTTCCTCCTTTCTGTTGAAATTGTCCACATGCTTGTGGATTTCAATGGCTTCTCTATGTAGTCTGACATGGTGGCTTCTCTGTGTAGTCTAAAATCAGGACAGTAAATAAAGAACAACACTCAGAAAACAGGGGAATTCCAGAGGGGCCAGCTAACACCTCCCAACAAAGGATTCCCCCAGGCAGGAAGCAGCCCAGCTTTGAATCTGCATGGCCATTCAATGCCAATCAAGGTGGCCAATTGCAACATTCACACTTGCCTCAAACAGGCAAGAGATCATTCTTCCACAGATCTATAAATCTCACTTGTCTAGTTTCCAACAGATCTCACAACCTCTGACGATGGATGCCATAGATGTGGGTGAAATGTCAGGAGAGAATGCTTCTGAAACATGACCATAACGCCCAGAAAACTCACAGCAACCTAGTGATTCCAGCCATGAAAGCCTTCGACAACACAGATCTTATAATGTTTTTTTTCTAATAATAAACGTTTTTGAAGCCCCTTATCGATTGGGGTTGCTGTAAAATGTGCAGAAAGGATTACCAAATTAATGTTAGGGAAGGATTTTCATCTTTTTATGTATGACAACAAAAGGCTGAGTCAGATTTTATTGTCTGCATTCCACAGCAAAAGATTAAGAGCAATATCTGACATGAGCCACCGGACTGGATGTCATATCATATTAACTTTAATCTAAGGAGCATTTCAATCACACTGAGAAAAACAAAACAAGGGTGGCTTGGCCACTAATGAGAAGCAATTAGATCATTTCCCATCCCAAATAACGCCTAGCTTATTGTCGGTAGCATTAATTAGCTATGAAGTTTGATCCATTTCAGTCAATGCAAGGTGTTTGAGTGACTTCACAATAAAATACCATCCCTTTGACTTACACCACTAACTCCAGCATTACTTTTCAGTAGTGACCAGTGAAATGTCCCTGAGAAGCATACCAAAACCACAGGAAGGATAGGGCCTTCTCCGGTTTTGCCTCAGTATCTGGGATTATCATTCAACATGGTAATAACGTTTTGCTTTCTTGGCTATTTGTGAGATCTTGTTGCACTTTAAAGCAAGATGGGAAAGCCTATAGCTTAGCTCCCTTCAGGATAAATCCAGAGTATGTATGATGGTTGGCTTCCCTCCACTTCTAGCTGTACTCTCTCTTTTTCTATCAATTGACAACTTCAACAGTGACTATTCTGACTAATGTATTGTTGAAGGCTTTCATGGCTGGAACCACTATTCTGACTGTTCCCATGTATTCTGTATGGCACTCTGCATGGAAGAAGTTCCATTTAGAAGTGAGTGGCACCTGAAGGGAATCCCCACTATCCCTTATCAAAGCTAACAAAGGTGTTTCCAACACTCACCCCACTCATTTTACTTATTAAGAAAGCAAGCAGTTTTGCTGTGTGGCTAAGATCCTACAGTTTTCTAGATATAGTTCCATTTTCTACAAGCTGCTTCCATTCTCCACCTGACAGAACAAGGTGGAATCTCATTGGTATTGTCAATCAATGATCAACAATAATATCAGTATCTTGATGCCACTCTACTGAGGTTCTCAGTTGTGAAGATAAGCAGGGTAAAGGGAAATGCAATTGTTATCTCCAGTCAGTGCCTGAAGATAAAAATGTGGTTCCCATATATACTGTTTACCTTTAGAAAGGTGAGAGGTACCCAATTTGTTTAAACTGCTTGCTCCTGATAATAGTGTGTGTGCATGTGTGTGCTTTTAATTTGCTTGTTGATGTATGGCAACCTCACAGATTGGAAAGGGTTTTCTTAGGCAAGGAATTCTAAGAGCTGATCTTGGCAGTGCCTTCCTTTTGAAATCATATTTAACAGGATTGACCCTACTTAGCGTCTAAGATCCAACAGGATCTGTTCTACTGTCTTTAGGGTATATTTAGTTCCTCTGAGGCAGTATTTCTCAACCTGGGGGTCCGGACACGGGGGGGGGGGGGGGTTGCGAGGGGATGTCAGAGGGGTTGCCAAAGACCATCTGAAAACACATTTTCTGTTGATCATGAGGTTTCTGTGTGGGAAGTTTGGCCAAATTCTATCATTGGTGGAGTTCAAAATGCTCTTTGATTATAGGTGAACCATAGATCCCAGCAACCACAACTCCCAAATGCCATGGTCTTTTTTCCACAAACTCCATCAGTGTTCACATTTGGGCATATTGGGTATCCTTACCAAGTTTGGTCCAGATCCATCGTTGTTTGAGTCCACAGTGCTCTCTGGATGTAGGTAAACTACAACTCCAAAACTCAAGGTCAGTGCCCACCAAACCCTTCCTGCATTTTCTGTTGGTCATGGGAGTTCTGTATACCAAGTGTGGTTCAATGCCATTGTTGATGGAGTTCAGAATGCTCTTTGATTGTAGGTGAACTATAAATCCCATCAACTACAACTTCCAAATGACAAAATCAACACCCAACCCCACCAGTATTCAAATTTGGGCATATCGGGTATTTGTGCCAAAAATTGTCCAGTGAATGAAAATACATCCTGCATATCAGATGTTTATATTATGATTCACAACAGTAGCAAAATTACAGTTATGAAGTAGCAACAAAAATAATTTTATAATTGGGGTTCACCACAACATGAGGAACTGTATTAAGGGGTTGTGGCATTGGGAAGGTTGAGAAACACTGCTCTGAGGATTAGATGGCCTAAGAAGCATAGGGATTAATCTGTCATGAAACAGTTTTGGTTTGTCATCAGCAGTAGCTGTCATTTTGATTTATAAACCACAAATCCATCTGGTTTGAACAAAGGACACTAAGAATAAGACGCAGCCAAATCTTTGCCATAAGGTAGATATACAGTGCAACTCCATGCAGGCTTACTCATAGGACCGGTTTTCATTAAGGCTGCTAACAAATAATTGCCTCGTAGATTGCAGGCTCAATTATATTGAAATTTAGTTTGCTTTCACTGCAGTTCAAAATGTGTCTCTTCCCTGTGGCATTTTCCATTTTAAGACTACCTCTAAGTTCTTCTTGACCAATCTTTTTACCTAAGGGGGAAAAAATCCTTGCGCATCACTTCTTTCCCAAACTTTATCTGCAAATTCTCTGGAAAAACTTTATATATATTTGAACCAGGCCTGTCCTGAAAATGCTAAAACAATCCAGTTTTGGTACGAAAGTTCTCATTTCATGGAGGGTTAAAAAAAAAAACCCTTCCCTGCGACTTTTTCCTTGTCGCAATCCTACTTATACATACTATTACACACATGATCCCACTTCCAAGTTTCAGGGGTTTTTGGGATTCAGGATATTATTACACTACGCTGTTAAAGCACTCTTTAACAAGAATCAGCAATATCAGTTAATGCAGAATAACAGTGCTTTAACAGTGTAGTGTGATAATCTCCTTGGTTTCCTAAACAAACAGGACACTGTAGAGTTGTGATGTAAGGTTTACTTACACATATGTATAGACTAAGGAGCTTATCACACTGGGATATACTCCATCTATATCAGAATATATTCCATATTTTTTAAGAATTGGATCCATACTGTATTCAGATGGGATGGATACTGACTCCATCACTCCTGATTCTTATGTTTTGAAAATGCTA